CTGATTAGACCGCGGCTTTGGTAGAGTTCTCCTAAAACCTAACTCAACAACCCACCAAACTAGTTCTGGCCTCGGCTCGTCGGTAACGTTCTTCGCGCGGCATTGTATCCAAGGATCGGCCCTTACGTTGCAGAAGCAACGACCGTATTGCTAACGAAATATAGAGGGAGAAGAAAAAAGAAAGAGAGAGAGAGAGAGAGAGAGAATTCGCCACGAATCCAAGAGGCTCCCGGCTCTCCTTCCTGTAGCTTATTTCTAAGTAGCCCTCGCATGCTCTATATATAGGATAAGGTGATACAAATTTTAAACATGGCATAATTCTGAACGAAATAAGATTTTAATCCAAATTCGAGATTCAAGTTTGATAACCTTGATCTCATTGTATGAAAAATACTAAAGGGAACCGCCAAACAGAAGAAAATCAAACTTAAACCTCGAAAATTGGATTTAAATTTTATCTCATTCAAAATTGTATCACCCTATATAGTTAAGATTATATAGGTACAAGAAAACCGCCCAGCAAGAAAAGCAACGTAAAATTTCTGATACTTAATCTACCTTATTAATTGTAGAGCGACAGAAAAATATTTCAAGAAGAATTTTCCGCAAATTCAGAATCAATATCAATATTTTCTTTTCTTCAAAATAACGAAAATATTTAATTCTATTTGATTAAAATATGTGAGAAAAAAATTTTAAAATGCATTAAAGTTTTGTAATGTTAAAATTATCGATACTAATAATTTGTAAAAATTCATATACTTTTTGAAGATATTTTTCCGAAAAATCTATCTAATAATATTATAAGAATTCTATTTGAAAGTATTATAACAATCTTAATCTTTCGACGATGTTTACTCAGAATCGAATATATCGCCTTCACTTCACAAGGTTGCTTCGAAAAAAAAAGATACGTATTTAATTTTAAATTTTTTTCCAACATCTGAGACTTTTTCGCGTCGGTGAGGATTAATTTGGACCGTTTTCTCATCAGAGAAGTTCAAGGGTGAAACGCGGTCTCTCAAAATTTGCTTCGACGCGACGCGTACATATGCGAGCATTAACACGCTGTAATGAGATAGCCACCGATGGGCGCGAGAACGCACGAGAGCTACTGAGTTGTCAATGAAATTTATGATCTGGATACCAGGCATGGCCGCGGAACGTGACGAGTGTGACTAACCAATTTTTCGGCGGGCGAGGCGGAGGAGAGCTGAGGAGATGAGGTTGGCGACTATTCGCGATGTAAATTTCAACCTCGGAGAAGACGGTGGCGGTCGTGATGGCGGCGGAGGCGGTAGAGGTGATGGAGGCAGTTTCATACGTCACGCGTGCTCGCGCGCGCGCGCGCGCGACCATTCACGACCTTGACCACATTTCTTCTCTTCGGTTGCGGGAGAACCCGAGAACCCGACCGACCGACTACTATTCGTGCGGGCGTGACTTGGAGCCTCCAAGTCAAGTGCCGGTCCAAATTCTCACGATCGACGGGATAAGTCGGGAACATTAGGTCAGGACCGCCAGGATCATACCGAGATGACGAGCTGGCATGAGAAGAGGTCGACACGAAAATACGAAATGTACAGATTGTAAAGTATCTTGTTTTAATTTTTCTAAATTATTGTCTTTCTCTCTTTTGGATCGTGCCAACCCAAAGAACATACACACAAGTCAACGAAAAATAAAAATTACTTTATTTTGATTTTTAACGTTAATAATCAAATAATCAGATTTTGTAATAAAACAATCATTTTTTTTTTGACTTTCTTTGGATTTGATATATTCCTTGGAAAAGCGTATCTTTTGTATTATCTAAGTTATAGAAATTTTCTAGTCTTAGTATTTTAAATTGGTCCGCAAAATATAACAATGTTATTAATTTTGTTTACAAATAAATTCTTGTATAGAAAAGGATTTATGTTTTCCAATAAGAATGTTTCAAATGTTATGAGCGTTAATTTTTTTTAGTTTCTCGATAGGGGATATTTTCTACAAATTATCAAGCTAAAGTACAATATATTTAGAGGTTTGAACGAAGGGTAGAATAGTCGTTTTAGTTATAGTCGCCGACAGTCTAGCGATTAACGGATACGTTCAGCCGTCTGACGTTTCGTCACGCATAGTTAACTTCCACTCGGCAGACAATTTTTGCGCGTTGTATGTCTCGAAAAGTAACATCGATGGACAGAAGCCAAGATATTAAAATCTTATTCCGAGGCGAATGTTAACAGAGCTTTGCAATTGTTGTTTGTAATATTCTACTAAATTTTTTAACAGAAACTTTCTATGATAATAAAAAGTAGGCATGATATTAAAATGAACTACTTTTGATGTTCAAAATTTAAATTAATATTTTTTCAAACGTGGCAAAAGAAATACAAAAGAAATTTTAATAAAATTTCCTTTATTTGAAGAAATAATTTTTTGAAAAGCAATTATCGAAAATTTTAGATGTAAAGTAGAAAACACTACTCTATGTTCATTCGAACGTTCTGCTTTCCGAGAACCGTCTTACCAGATAAATCCCTCGAGTGTGCATGTAACTTTCGTTTTGGCGGGAAGAGTCAGACCCGTAATCGGAGCGATCGACAACGGTTGGTCGACGCGTGCGATTATCAGCAACTTATCGCGGAGACGAGCATACAAACGTGACCTTGTCGCTTTATAACTTACGCCATTTTGCGATGCTACCTACCACGTGGATAATAGCAAATTTAATTGGACACGCTATTGCATATTAAAGCGATTGTATACTGATTTAATCTGTGTAAAAATAAAATACAAATGTTTTGAATTACAAAGTTCAGATTTTACATAACGGCACAATAAAATATATTGTAATGTGAGGATTTAAAATGTTTAATCTGTTTTTATATTTATATTAAGCGCATATTTTTATGTCAATTTGTGTTGGTACTTTAATGTACACCAGTGAGTGCATTCAATCGAATTCGTTACAAGTCTTTTTATGAAAGTAGAGCACACGAAACTGTCTCGTCTATCACGAAACTATTTCGAGAAAAATTAAGGTAACTGGCGAAATATTTTAATTTAAGAATTTTCTTCGATGTTTAATTTAGAAGCAAAATTAGATGAATATCGAAGTGATAATCGTATGTATTATACATGCTCTGCATTAATTAATTTAATACGATTATTTTGTGTAACTTTGTCGTCCTAATTCTTGAGATATTAAAAATTAATATTCTAGTAGCAATTTATTGGCAATATATTGATTAACGTTGGCCCAATATCGGGCCAACATTGTATCAATATTGTGTCAATAAATTGTGATGCCAAGATATATTTTATGACAGAACGTGCGCTTATTCTCAGAGTTAATTTTTGGAATATCACCACTGTTAATCGTATAGCAGCTTGATTTCGAAATAAACTTTAACGAGATAAAATATGTCACTTTTTCTGGATCTGACACTCTCAACGGATCTTTTAACGCGAGTCGGAGCACACGACGTGATTTGGAAAAATGGAAAAGAATTTGAGTGCCGTGTGTCGAGGGCACTCAAACTTCGTGGTTGCGAAAGAATCGTCTTTTTTCGGCGGAAACCGAAATTGGTGATACAGCTATTCTCAAACATAATCTCGCGTTCGTTGTTCATGAATGGGGAGGAAATGAGTGGTCGTGCGAGATATAACGTCAGTTTCGCGCGCGTTCACGATGATATCCTAATTCTGCACGACCATAAATTCGCTCGTCGCACAAACTTCACGTTCGAGTTATTCGGAAAGTTTCAATCTCGTCCCACCGATAAATAAAGCCAAAGAGATTTAAATGCGTACAGAGTTATTGAAAAATATTTTTTATATTCGTTTACACATCACTATTTATCCGTTTATCACCAACACGATCGAATGAGTCGTTTAAATTGTTAAATCTCTTTTCACTGGTCACAAAATTTGTACTTTTAAATATTAGCGATAAAAGTTGTGGTAGTAAGAATTAATGTTTTCATTAATGCAAAAATCCTTAAATTTCTCTTCACATACAAAATGTAAGGTTATTTCTATAAAGCTACTAATTGTCAATCACTCTAACGTTGTGAAAATTATTTGCGAATTTGTGTTTAATGTTTCTACCTAAGTAACTAAAATTTTATAATTTGCACATAAGCAATTTATGCTTTAATAATTCTATGATGATAATATCGACAGTTTTGTTTGTCACATCGACAGTCATTATTTTGTTACATATCGGAGAAAGTATTTCGATCTTCTCCAACTTCACGTTAAAGCGCGTCTATTGAAAAAAAATTGACGGTTAACTATCGACATGACAGTAACCTGACAGATATGTATTTTCACCAAAAATCTTTCAAGGGATTTGCCAAGATATACTGGCATTTTGAAACGCTTAACGAAACATTCGTGTTCTAGATTCATTTAGAAAATCTATCGCAAGCATGCTACGCAAATTCTTACATGTACTCGGCCTTAAGATCTAGCAAAAAAGCGTCTAAATGAAGCATAGCGTATTAAATATTGTAAAAGAGGTTCATTTTCAGCAGCATTAAGCATACAGGAAAAATACGGATATTCAGGATCAGGATAAAGCAGAGGACTCAACATTAGTTCGATCATCCAGGCAACTCCTAAAGATTTCCTTAGAATCTTCATCTTCGCGCTAAGATTAGACACAAAGACATTATTATAAATAAATATTAATTAACAAATCGACTAATGTTTACGATTTATAAGCTCGAGGGAAAAAGCAGTAGCATAGATGGCAAAGCGGTAAAAGCGGTTTTATTAGTATACAAATAATTGGCAAAGCGATATGAAGCAGATGGATGCTCTTCTTCGATTTCTTCTTCTCTCCTCTCTTGGTCGCCCAACGGTCGCCGTCGTCGTTGTCGTAGTCGTCATGATGAAAAGCAATGTATAAAGCACGTATAATCGGAAGCATTAAAAGCAGCGTTAGCATAAATAATACGAGCAATTTCATACGAGCAACTCACCGTTCAGCTTGTCGATTGCCCGATCGGCTGTGGATTGATCGGCACAGTCGACGAAGGCGTAGCCACCACGCTTTACCAGGATCGTGGTGCATGCCAAGCTGTGCTCCTGGAAAAGTTGCCTGAGAGCGCTCTCGTTGCAATCTGACGGCAGATTGCCCACGTAGAGCTTTGACATGGTGGCTGGCTGCTCGCTTCTCGACGCTATGATGCCGGCTTCCACCGAGTACGCGGCTCGGTCACGTGTATTAGGTGTTTTTCAACGAAAACGACGAATTCGGTGCGCGTGCGCGCGGACTCGCGTACCCGATTCCCCGAGTACTGACCTCGTCGTAGACTCGGGGTCTACGTGGACCCGGCGGGAGTTCAGTGAGTTTGAACGACTACGCGGACACGACACGACGGGGATCGCGACGATCACAGGACGATGATTGAATGAGGTGATAGCGGAGGATGAAAAACGGAACGGAAGGAAAACGGAGTATATGGTACCAGCGATAAAATGGAGCAATCGCGCGGGTTAGATCGGCGTTGCAGGAGTTGCAGGCGTCCGATCCGATGATATATCCTTATTACTGGGACGAGACGCGAATACAACTGTTGGCTGAATCCCGGACACGAATGTGGATCAGATCGCGGATCGCGTGTGGGTCACGGGCTGCACACGCGAGAGGCAAAATGCACGGGGTGAGAGAGAGCACGGGGTCCTTGGACGACTTCTGCGACGAGATCGGTCCTCGATCGGGCTTGGCACCTTCCTTCTTTTGTTTTCCGCTGCTGGCTTCCTCGCGCCTCAACTGGCCGACTGCGAGTCGCTCGATCCGCGGATAGGCGACGACTGTGTGTGCGGTCTCTTTCTCTTTTTCTCACTCCCTCTCTTTCTCTGCTTTTATCCGTCTGTCTCTCTGACAACTCAAACGCGGCGCTGTTGCGCGAATCTGACGCGCTTCCGGTGGCTGTCCGTCAGCAGCTCGATCGCAGAAACCGACGACGATGGAGACCGGCCGGCGTGTCCTCGCAGAAATGGCTCTCCCCGATTGCTCCAAGTTTAAGGGACGCGCGCGTTCACCAAGTCTCTGTTCTG